GATCGTGCATGCTACCCACTACAATATTCACCCTGTTGGGGTGTGGCGACGGCTCCCTATTAGATACCTTGTCTATGTTTGCACCCTCAAGCGTCTTAGAGCCTTCGCCTCCTGCAGCGACCATAGCATATGGGGATATGCCAACGACGTGACCCCCGTTATCGAGTACCGCTTGCGAAACTGTGCCCATGAGTCCCATCTTACCGCCTCCATAAATTAAGGGTCGAGAAGATCCGGCTAGTGCAGCACCCAAAGCTATTGATTGCGTTAGTTAGGACGCCGAGAAGGGAAGGGGTCGAACGAACACTTGGCTGCGTTTTCATAGGCCGGATGAGTACCCATAGAGGAAGCACAGTACACACAGACTGCTTGTTGAGACATTGCGAATAAGAGTGTTATAAGACAGTAAGAATTGTTGCAAGTGGAAAGGTTGTAAGGTCGAAAAATATCGAGTCATTTATATAGAGACCTCGTTACATGAGAATGTTCTACCAGAATGTTGGTCTGACGCCACGGATTGGTCACGTATACACGTTGCAAGGGCACGTCGGATCAAGCTTCTTTTGCAATTCAAATAAGCGGTCGTCCGGTCCCATTCCCCTCTAGAAGCTTTGTTCTACCTCCACCTGCTCCAACCCATGTCCACACTCGGCCTTCATCCCCTGTTGAGGTGACTTCCATGTTGGAACGCACATTTGAATTGACTTCCACAACCTTTTCCACCTGTTCCCATAGTCTTGCTCGCTTGGTGAGCGAATGTTCATCCTGCAATAGCTCATCCCTCAAGTGAAGGGATGAAATAGTAGCTGATGGATACCCCGATGGGTCCAAGTAATGCCTAGCCTCTTGCTCTCTCACTCGTTCAATAGCCTCTTTGACAAGTTTGCCAACACGGCGACTCTCGAGTGCTCGCTTCGTCAGATTAGAGCGTAGAATAAGGACCAGAACGGCCACGACAGCAGCAGCTAACCATATAAGTCAGTAGAGATAATATCAGTGATCCTACTCAAACTTACTAATGACACTATTTTGCCATGCCTTCCATGTTCGACGAGCGGCCAAGTTAATTTGACATACATACGACAACTCCTCTCGAATTGAGGCATAATACCGGCGACCGCTAAAGGGACCTTCAAAATTTATCACTCTATCCTGGGTCAGATCTCACCTGATATCTCGCACAGAAACGAGGAGACCATTATTGTCAAGTTCCTGCATCGCTTGATCAAAGATCTCATCGAAATTATTAAGCTGTTCGCCGTCAGTTACATATTAGATTCCTATGATGAGAAACTCACTGATTTTGGAACTGCATTCCGAAGGCCCGGTTTGATTTCATCGATTGTCATGCCATATGCGGCCGCATCTTGAGCATTACCACCTGTAGAACGAGTACCGGCACAGATTCGTTGACCACGAACAAAGGCAAGTTTGTTCTCTATGGCACCCGCCATCTTTCCGACGTGCTGGCGCCTCTTCACGTTCGGGACACACCGAGGGGGGAAATGCTACTGATCCTAAACCAGGCATACCATCTAAAGCCGCATCCATGAAAGGAATGGATGAGATAATACTCGGGGTTTTGATATATGCAGGCTCGCACTCGATGGAGCGGCCAGAACAGACGGCATGTGCAGGACATGGGGTACAACTGGTGGCACGGGGAAGAAAAGGTGCTTTGCATTTTTCCAGTTCCGGATCGACCGGCAGTCCTGCTTCTGCCCTTTTGATGACAATCTCTTGACACGCCTTTTCTGCTTGAATTTCCTCCAGACGTTGGCGAACAGCTTCATTGGTGTCGAGTCCGGTATCACAGTAGCCAAATAAAGCCGAATCTGTCTTGTATAGCCATAAAATAGTTGCAACGAGAACGAAGGCTAATGTGAAAAGGAGTTGTTGCCACATTGTTGGACTAGACTGCCTCCTACGAGTTGACACTATGCCGTTTGAGGCTCGAGTGCCAAGTGATGCTATTTTCTCACTGACTAGTCTGTTGTGATTGTCATCGTCTAGATAAGGAGAGTCAATTTGACTATCGCGTTCGTCAAACGTTTTGTTCTCGTTGTCATCACCCGGTGTTATGGTTTGAGCACCGGATGGTTGCCTAGGTGCAACCCGAGATTGATAAATAGAATTA